GCGAGATGGAACCCTGGAGTGCTTAACCATTGAGCTACATCCTAGCCTCAAGTAAAAACTAAACTATTTTACTTAAAGTCAGAGTCTGGATAAGTTGCTGAGGCAGGCTTTGAACTCACCATCCTCCTGCCTTAGCATCCTCTGCTGCTGGGATCACAGGCATGCACCACTACCCCTCGCTCAATTTTAAAAACATTTTCAAAGAACTTTGGCTTTGTTAATTTTTCTATTGTCTGTTTTTTGTGTCATTCCCTTTCTTCTATTTCTGACTTAATTTTTCTGGGCCTGGAGTTTCACTTTCCAGAATGTTTTATAAATTCAATTTAATATAGGACATTCTTTGGTTAATTTTAGTAGCTTCTGACTTTCAAGGCAGCAATTTCATCTAAGTTTTTTGATATAAGTGTACAGAGGTATTTGATATGTTCCTTTATTGTGCTTTTAATATCTGTGCTATAGCCTGTGTCATTCTTGATGTTAGTACTGGTTAAGTATCTCTTAACCAAAATGCACGGGAACAGATGTCATGCTGAATTTCAGATTTTGGAATATTTGCATATATAATGAGATCTTTGAGGGACAGGATCCAAATCTAAATGAGACTCCGTTCTTTTACTTACACTTTCTATAGCAGTCTGAAGGTACCTTTATACAGTACTTTTAGTGCACCTGCRTGTGACTGCAACCCACTGAACGAAGTCAGGAGTGGAATTTTTCATCTGTGGCATCATATTGGCAGCCAGAAGGTTTTGGATTTTGGAACATTTCAGATCTCTGGATTAGGGATGCTCAACCTGTAATTTGTTCCTTCTCACTCTTAAAATATCACACTGGCTGAAGGTGTGTCGCTCTTAGTTCTGTCTTGTGTGGTGCTGGGGATTGAACTCAGGGGTCTTCTACCACTGAGCTGCACCCACAGCACTTTTGTTTTTTTGAGACAGGGTCCATGTTGCTGAGGCTGGCCTAGAACTTGTGATCCTCTTGCCTCAGCCTCCTGTGAAGCTGGGATTACAGGTGTGCACTGCTGCACCCAGTTAAAGTTCACTTTCCAAAGTGCCCAATTTGGTGGCTTTAGTGTATTCACAAGATTAGGACACGGTGTCTGCTGAAGTACCTGGTGTTCTCAAGTCCAGAGCTGCCAGTGCCTGCCATGTGACCTCAGCCAGTCAGTTATATCCCCAGCCCCTGGCACACAGGGATACTCCTGTCCTCTGTGTGCTGTGAGGAGTAAATGACACTGTATACAAATTACTTGGCAGATTGACCAGCAAGCACAGTCCCTCAATAGAGTCCTCTTTCCCCTGCCTGCCCTTCAGACGGACATGGGCATCCCACRGTAAAGTGGCAGAGAAGCCTGGAGCCTTGGTAGATGGAGGCCGGGCACATGGGGGACAGCAAAGTGGAGCTGGGTGCCTCAGTCAGAGCCAGAAGAGGGGTCAGGTGTGGTACAGTGATCTTGCCTCTGCTTTATGGAGGAGGCCACGGAGGTTCAGGAAGTCACCCTGGGGGCAGGCTCTGCAGCTGGACGTCAGGCTCATGCCAATCTTGTTCCTCCCAGCGTGTGGGAACCTGTGCTACCACGTCACTGGAGCCCTCAGTTTCTGCCGCGTGTGGCCAGCTCTGCCTGTGCCAGGGCTCTCCGAGACACCGAGGTCTCTCCCTGGGTCTCACCCTCCTGCTCTGAACCTCTTCAGTCTTTGTGGTCTGTGTGTTCGTGACAGAGGGACCATGTGATGGAGATGCCGAGGGTGACAGAGACCAGTGCATGATGTGGCAGATTAAGTGCCTCACACAGGAGGGGGTCATCAAAGCAGAAGCATGAAGGTACCCTGACAACAAGGTACAGAACCTGGACATCAGTTACACGCTGGACCTTGGAAGAGGGGCAAGGCTGCAGAGTTGGTGAAGGGCGGCAATCACTGCACTGAGTCTGCCCTTCCAAGGGCCCTCGGGCCCCTGGTGCCGTGGATTCAGACACATGTTGAGTCACTGCCTGCCAGCTGGCCTGGGCACAAGGGCTCTTGCCCTGCAGGGTGCAGATCTGGGAGCTGTATGTGTCAGGACAATGTGGAGTCTGTGGCTGCCCAGGGAAAGCACCAGCCATGATGGTGACATCAGTCAGGGCCTGTTGCATCATGTGCACTGAAGCACTGAGCCCTCAGGCCCTGCACAGATCCCATGCTCTGGCTGAAGGCCTTGCCACACTTGGTGCACTCCTAGGGCCGCTTGCCAGTGCGCACCCGATGGTGCTGGGTGAGGTGGGTGCTGCGGCTGAAGGCCTTGCTGCACTTCCCACACCTGTAGGGCTTCTCCCCAGTGTGGACCCTCTGTGGACCCCAGTGTGGGCCAGGTGGGTGACGCAGCTGAAGGCCTTCCACACTCACTGCAGGCATGCGGCGTCTTCTGGGATGGCCCTTCTGGTGAGCCTCGAGGGCTGGGGTACCTGGAATGTTCTCCTACATCCAGCACACCTGGACTTCTTCCCTGAGTGTGTGAATGGCGGTGCTGCCCCACCACCAGCCAACAGACCACCCCTCTCCCCGGGGGAGCCCTGGTAGGCAGTGTTGGTGACTCAGCATGCYGGGCAAGCGCTCTACCACTGGGCTACACTCCCAGCCCTTGGGCCCATTTCCAAAAGGAAGCATCTCACTTGGTGTCTTGGATGACAAAAGGCTGCCCTCCCACACCTCCCAAACTGCATCATGGGTTCTCATTTTCCCTACCCCTACCAACTCTCCATCCTTCAGGGGTCCTGAAGAAAAACCTCAGGAGGAACTGAGTTGAAAGAGGCAAGAGAGGCCAGGCAGGGGTGCTATCCCAGCAACTCAGGAGGCTGAGGCAGGAGGATCACAAGTTCGAGGTCRGTCTTAGCAACATACTGAAACCCTGTCCCCAAAAATAAAAAGGGCTGAGGGATGTAGCTTAGTGGTAAAGCACCACTGGACTCAATCTTCAGTGTGTGACTGCACACACACAAAGCAACCGCAAGAGAGAGGGAGTGACTGTGCTCATCTGGGCTGCCACACTTGCTTCCCCAGGGAGGACCCCAGCTCCGGGGATGGCTGCACCCCTCACACCAAGCACTGCTCTGGCCTGGGGGAGTCACAGTGCTCAGCGAGCACTGGCTGGACAAGGGGTCCATCCGGATGCCTATGACCATGACAGTTCCCACAGAAGCCCAGTGGATGCCTGCTGCTGGGAGTGCCCACCTGGCCACTCAAGCTCCCTGGAGGCCCAAGACCCACCCTTCATGAAGGAAGACTGTGGCTGAGGGGCAGCTAGAGAGCAGGATGTGTGAGGGAAAGGATGCCTGCACTGACCTGCCCTTCATGGGTGCAAAGGGCGCCTGAGGGGCTTCATCTGGCCAGGTTCACAGGATGCTCCGGGGGAGGAGGCAGGTCGAGGGTGARGTGACCGCTGCTCTAGTCCAGTCAAGCTCAGTGGCCCAGGAACCAGGCCCTGGCCTCAGTCTCTGCGTTGGCTGGCCCTTGCCTGGACCTGTCTCCCTTGCTGCAAGGTGCAACTCACTTGCTGCAGTGCTGCTGGCCACTATTGTGCYCTTGGTTGGTGCAGTGTGTGACCTTCACTTTGGAAACGGTTCTCCCACTGCAGGTGGGGAAACGGAGGCCCAGCTGGGGAGGCCTGGAGTACCTGTTACAATGCCCGAGATTAGTTTGCAGGGGCTGAGGAATTTGAGCAGCTCCTCCCTAGCCACCTGCCGGGCCCTGTCCCTTCCTATCCCGCTCCTTCCAGAGTGCACAGTGCCCACCTGGCCAGCCCCAGCTGCCCCACCTTCCCTCTGCCTGGGCACAGCTGACAGGGCCAAGGGAGGGACCCGACCAGCCTCTCCCAGAGAGGTCTGTGTCTTGAAGGGCTGGGGGAGTCGTCCTGACAGGACTCACCCCATGTCAGTGCAGGCTCTAGTCCAGCTGCCTTGCGGACATTCCTCCATGTGTTTCAGTTTACAATCTGCYTTTTACCCCTGAGTCACATGGCCAGCCAGGAGGACCCCAGCAGCACTGGGATCTGTGAGCCTTAAGGTGTCACCTGTGCCCAAACTCTACCTCTTGGAGGCTGGCGCACACCCTGCCACCTGCTACCAACAGGCCAGGCCCACCCTGCTGGGAGGAACCTCTACTCCCTGCTCTGGACTGTCCATGGCTGAGTATCCTCAGTGCCCACCAGACCC